GTGACATTACTGTATTATATCCTTCGTATTACTCGTTTTCTACCACTTTTTGTCGCATACGCGTTTCAACAAAAAGGCTGAGAACGGCTTCAACAGTGTGCACACTCATACTGGCTGACACGCCCCACCGGTCCGCAATGATGAGGACTGTACAAAACTAGGGTGCCCCTTCATGGACAGTACGAAGTCCATGGTAGGAGTGGTACTGGCATGTCAAGGAAGGATACACCTCCTGCGTATTACGTGCTCGGATTTACGGGGTGCCTACCACGTCTGCGAATCTTCCAAACATGCCTCAAAACCTCGATCATCAGTCCAGAAAGTATTGTAGTGGTTTGGGTGGGCTGACTTACCTTCCGTAGGTCAGCCCGCAAAAGGTGACAGTTACCGTCCACAGAGGGTCTCCATTGAGCAGAAGTAGTCGGAACTTATGGTTACTCGTAGTATCCAAGAAGATAGATGGTAGGGGTTGAGAAGATGGAGTTGCTTGGAAATAAGGAGCTCCTAAATAGACTCTGAAAGCTAGCTACGGGTGGACTAATGATGACAAAGGTGTGAGAATAAGATAGTAATAGCTGAAAGACAATGACGAGATAAGTGATGGCGGTCGCTGATGACTTTCTGTATGTTTTTAGCATGACGTCCTTTATCGTTGTTTGCCATTATAAACCATGGTGTCTTGATGAGAACGCCTTACTGGAACTCCATCACTCGTGTTTTTAGCCTGTGAGCATGAAGGGAATTGAGGTCTTTCTGTCGGGTTGTTTATATTCTCAGCATTGTGTCATTGTAGCCTTTCGCGAGATTGGCCGCACGATAGCAGTTGGCGCGAACATCTGTTTCCATATGAATTCAAGCAGCATACCGTCCAACACCGCTCTCTTCATTGTGAACTCCATCGTGACTCTCACAAGCTAACTTTAGCGGTGAGCGAAACGCCAAACAGCGTAATAGTTTTCTCTTTCCGCCTTTCCACATCATGAAAAGGAATTTGATTCATGGCTATCGATGACAGGCGCGAAACATCATCGACAGTGAGTGTACATCCACACCTTAGTTCGTTTTCAAGGCTGTATTGTCTCTTTTTGGAGCATTGGCGTGGAAATTTGTCCGGTATTCGGGGCATCCTCCCTACGCAGCTTCTTTAGGCCGAGATCTTACTTCGCGGCAGCCACTAGCGCCTACCAGCGTCCACCAGCGACCACCAACGTTCCGTGCGTCCGGCGGCGTCAGCAACCAGGAAAGTATAGATATCGGTCTAGCGTCTACCAGCATCCACCAGCGACCGGGAGTAGAGAGTATGGGGAGTAGGAGGGTGGCAGACCGCTGGATCAGGACCTCATGAAATTGCGGCGTGAGCAATGCACCGCACAGCTGCACTACACC